CTGGCAGTGCTCAGTAGCTCTTCAAACCAGCGAAATATAAAAAAGGCAAAAGGGAGTACTTGGGCTATAATTCACAAGCGATAGTGATGTGCCAGACGTAATTATTTCACAAATGTCTTTCATTTTATTTCACTGAAAGAAGCAAAAGAGCTTAAAGACAACAGTATTTTTTTTTCCTGAGTGCCCAGACACTGACAAAAGTGCCACAGTTCCCTGCAGCAGGTTAATTAATCTTTATGCAGTCCTGTATGTAAAGCTCATTCACCAAAGCTGACTAGGTTGGACTCCGTACCTGAAGCCTGCACAGCCAGATTATGGTCTTCATCCTCATCTTCAGTGGCAGTCCTGTTAAGAAAAGGATGTTTCATCTTGAATAGTGCCAAAATATCAGTCTGATCAACTCTGACCTGGTCAAGTTGCGGGGAGATTTACTAGGGGTGGAAAGACCTCATTGCAAAACTTCAGCCCAATGCAACCCTGGACTGTATTACAGCAAGTTAGACAGAAATCTTCTGGTCTTCTCTGCACCGGTCAATGTGCAGCTGAAGATGCGAGCCATCTGCAGATCCGCTAAAAAGCAAAAAATCAGACTGCCGGTGGATGTAAAATCCATGGTCAGGGAGGAGATACTGAGTCATGGGCCTAGAGAAAAGTGAAGACTGGTGGTCTTTGGGCTTGCAAAAATAAAGCAGCTGCAAAAAGAGTGGGAACAGTTCTATTTATGCACTGAGAGCAGGACAAAGAAAGCAGTTTTGAAGGTTCTATAATTTCTGGAAGTTTTAGATTCATTGTGGACTTAAATTTTTGCAAAATATTTGTTTTCTCATTTAGGTTCTTCCTGGAATCATCTCTTTAAACTAATGAGACATCTAAGCTAGACATTAGGAAGCCTCTCCTAGTGATGACAATAGCTATATCCTGTCTCACATCGCTACAAAGGTTACGCGAGTCAGCAAAGTCTGCTGGGTGTGCGCTGGGCACCGCTGACCCCGCTGTGGCGTGGGGGAGGCAGGGGATGACCTCGGCGAGCCCCAGCCAGTCCTGTTTGCTGTCACTCCAGCAAGCCTGAAGATTTACTTTCACCCTGATGGTAGTCAGTCACTCGTGATTTTGACCTACAGTTTAATGTGCTCTCTTTGCTATAGTTGCAGACATCCTCCTTCTGGTTATGCTCCCTGCTGTGACTAATGGCGTCTTTGCAGTTTAAGAGGTGGTTTTTAAAGAAAAAACATCCAAGTTTCAGTGCTGTTACCGAGTTTACACTTTTAGGAAGAACACTGGCACAGCAGTCCTTGCTGTGGCCTATGAACTTGACATTTTTTGGGTGCAAACGTGTGCGTGTGTATTTATACATCTTTCTCAGACCCCCTAAATACACAGGAAGCAACTGTCTGTTACTGTTTATGCAATGGATCATCAGTCTCAGTATTCACTATTCACTGTGAAGTATGTTTAAAGTGCACTTACTCCATTCATACAAAATATTTTTGATCGGTCAGTTTTTTGAAAGCTGAATTGTTTTTCTCAAATGCAAACAAAACTGGAAATGAGTTTGCAAAGAATCAGGAACCGAATACCACACAAAATACCGAGACACCAGGGAAGCTTTAAAAATACAAGCTTTCCGGTGTGGAAGATGTTTAAGGGTGATATGAAGAGCCATTTCTTACAGATAAAACCATAAGGATTTTAAAGCCATTTTGCAAAATACCTCAACCATTAATAAATATTCCTTTTGAAAAGACTGCAATGATCAAAGGTAGTTCTCCCAGCTGAGGAACAGGTTTTTAGAATAAGTGATGAGACGACTTAAATTCATTTGATTCTTTTGTGTGTGTGGACACTGAAGAAAAATTTGGGAAAATGCTGTATTTGTTTAAATCTCCTTCCTTTGTTTTCGCTTTCTAATTTGGGTCCCTGTATCTGCTCACCTCTAAATCAAATTAAAGGGCAGCAGATCACTAAAGCTAATGCTACTTGACCAAAATTTCTATGCTGTATGGGAAGAAAACCAGCAGAAAGCAGCTCAAGGTTTGCTTTTCTGTGCTAGATAAGACTGCAGATACTGTCTGGATGCTAATTGGAGTCACTGTACAGTCATGTTAGATGCCCTGTTCTCATTCCTGTTGTGGCAAGTAGCATAGTACCTGTGTTCTTCAAGAAAGGATCAATGACACAAAGGTAGTTTTCTGCTGCAGGGGGAAAACAGACAATTAGAAAATCACTATTTGTATTCAATCTCTGTTTACACTGGTTGACCACATCTCTTGCAAGTGCTCATTTCTCTCTAGCTTCAGAAATACAGAAATATATCAGCACCAGAAGTCTCCTCTCGTTTTACTTTGCAATTCAGGATTGCTTTATTAATCAACGCAAGATGCATTCATTGAACTGGATTAATCCTGCATAAGTAATTTTGAAATTTCATCATTTCTGGGAACAAATCATTTATTTGGATTTTCATATATCAGGATCACAGAGATTTGACACAGTCAGATTTTAATTTTAGTTACATCTGAGCTGCCTTATATATTAGGGCACATAGTTTTGCATGAGAGCATCTTCTAAAATCTGTAATTGGTGTGGAACACTGACATGCACAGAATATATCTGACAAGGTCCAGAGAGTCGGGTTCAGTTTCGCTGATCAACATCTATGCTGCAGATTAACTGAATCTTTTATGGCATTACAAGCCCTCCAGAATTCATTAGCGTACCTTCCCTTCCCGCTAACCACTCTGACCTGAAGCGCTGCCATGGCTGCTTCCTTGGTCTGGACCTGAGAAGGCTGAAACAGCGACTCTTTTCCGCTGCCACACTAACCTCAGAAATGAGAATGAGTATTTTAAACTGCTTAGGAGTGTGTATGTTGGCAATTACTGTCTTGGCCTCTTTAGCATTGTTTGGGATTTCTGTCTCCTTTGTCTCTACCTTGAAAGCTCCATTTAAATTGACATGTGGTCTGTCCCTTAAAAGCAAGAGAACAAGTACGTATATTGGTGACTGATTATAATACAATACAAACTGGTATATATAATGAGGTCTGGCATTTTTTTTTCTCAGAAATTGGCTCACAGATGCAGTAGCAGAATAAATCACTGTATTAAAAGCAGGAAGGGGGGACAAACACGTGAAGGAAAGCAATGCCAGCTTTTGGGAGCTAGGTGCACAGCACCTTTGAAGACAGTGTTATAATTAATGAAAAGTATTTCTGAAATGCCATCTTTGCCCTCCTTAAGGGCACACCTATGGGTTGCAAATCAGTAGCAACGCAGCGTTCTCATTCTGTGCAGGCAGTGCATAGGACCACAGCTCAGGACCAGGGAAATAGCTTCATTCACTGCTCTGTTGTGTTCCTGACCCACCTGTACAAAAGTACCCAACACAAGTTTGACATGCTGAGGACGAAAAGAAGATGAATATTTGGCAGGAAGGACAGCAGAGAGGGAGAACAGAGAAACAGGTCAGCTGTCCGACTCCCAAAGACAATCCTCATCGGCGACTCAGAAATGGAGAGGACGCTTCCCTCCAGCCCAGTGGGGACTGGGATGTGGACACACCTGCTCTTCCTCTGCCTCTCACCACCAGCGTCAGCTCTCCTGCCTTGCTACAGGTATTGGCTGAGGTTGGGTGCTTTGCAGCCCGAGAACCACAGAGAGGTGCCAATAGGCACCTCTCTCACGGTATTTCGTTGTGCTGAAGCCTGCAACACAAGAGTACTCTGGTGATTTAATCCTTTTGCTTGACAGCTATACTGCTGTAAATGATTAGCTGAAGAAAATAAGAGTGGTACCATCACCAAGTGCTTATTTAGTCCTCTTTTATTGTACTGTCTCGTGTTTCTCCTCGGCTCTTTGTATCACCTCTCCTGTCATTTCTTTCCAGCCTTGCTCTGATGTGTGCTTCTCAGAAACCATCTTTGCCTTCCTTGATACTCCAGCCCCTACTTTCTCTGAGCCCTTAGTCCACAAGAACTTGCCACTTTCTCCTCTCACAGTCTCGTTTTCTGTTTTTAACTTTCATTCTTACCTCCTCTTTCTTGTTTCATTCCCTTCCTCTCTAAATTGTATCTCTACCTGCTGCTTCCAGCTTCTCCTCTTCCTTCTTCTCTCCCGATTAATTTAAAAAAAATGCACAAATCTCCCTTTCTTTCTCTTCTGAACACTCATTAATGAAATAGTCCTATTCATTGTGCTATCTTACCATAGCTGCTGCTGGCTTGTGTTTCCCTTCCTCATAAAAGACCTGCAGGACTGATCCCTTTTCATCAGATCAGATTCTTTGACTGCACTCTCAGCCACCTCCAGCACAGCTCACATTTGCCACAAGCACGGGGGTGTGGGACTGGTTTTCCATGTGCTCAGTGCACCCACTTGGTTTGCACAGGAAGGCTGTGGTCCATGACAGAGTTTGGTAAGCATGAATAAACAATGCATGTGGTATAGTCACCTGTACTGCTAAGGATTCTGCCTCCTGGTGCATTACTAGCCTTTACCTTGGTCTTCTCAGCCTGGCAATACCTTTTGTCCCAACTCCTCTACTGCTCACCCTGTCCTCCAAGAACGGCTACAACCCACAGCTAGAAGGGTCAGTCACCACAGGAGGGACAGTTTGAAGGGGCAAGAGATATTCTGAAGAGGGAAGAAAGGGACACAACTAGCATTCAACTCCTCAAAGCCAGACTGCATTTAACGGAGTTGTGTCCTCCTCACTCCTCTTACCACAGGGCAGAGGAGGGGGCAGAGCAGCGCAAGGCAGAGCATCAGTTCTGCGAGCGTCAGATCATGTCCGGAGGCTTCTGAGGTCAGACCCTGCCCGCAGGGGACAGGCAGGTGGGATTTTCCCTGCTGGAAGCACAAGTTGGGCACCTGCGCTCGGGGAAGACTCTGACTCACAAGGTTTTACTGCGTCGCTGCGCTTACAAGTGCTGAGCGATGGCACCCAGAGAATAACAAGGCTGTTACATACAGCTACAAAATAAAATAAGTTTACGCGTCTACATGATAAAAAAAGTTCCAAAGAATTTAATGTAGATATTATTTATACATATACTTTATAAGTAGGAATATGGCAGACAGTTGAATTAGTACATAAAGTTTTATTTAAAGTTTCCCCCCTACAAGCAAGCTTCATTTACACAGTCTAGTACTGTACAAAATTTACATTCTTTGTGTGACTTATTCAGTTAGCACTTTTCTTGGTCATGCCTTCCTGAAGGATAGAAAGATTTACATACAGTCCTCATAAATCTTATCTTGGTAAAAAAAAGAACCACTTAAAAGGACAACAAATATCCTTTTAAAATGGTACATTTTAGTAGAGACAGGTGACAGTGTTTAATGGCAGACCTTATCCTGATCTTAAATGTCATTCAAAGTTTCCTCATTTAGTATCTTAACAGTTTCCTTTTTATATATATTTATATTTATATACTTTCAACAGGAAACGAAAAAAAAAGTCATGATTGCACCAAATATATTTTACAAGGGATCCCTTGGATCTGAACAATATAAATAAATACAAAACCAACTAAGATTGCACTATACAGTAGAAATGGATTGAGATTTCAGGATATACACTCGACCTTTATGAGTTCCTTAGTGATGCTCACTGGAAAACTCCCCAACGGCACATTCAGATATTAGCATCTTTAGATAATTATTTTGTTTAAACAATTTTTTTCCAGGCGTGCAGCTACCTCATCAATTGGGTTATTGCATTTGTATGGTTTCAGTCTTTACTGCATTACTCCTATTTTACAACTGTGTAATTCTGCTGCAAGCAAGGGAATTGCGCTGCAATAAAACTGGACTGATGCCAGAGAGAAACAGTCCCATGGTATTTGCTCTCCATTATTTGTATTGCTCTCGAGCATCAATATATAGTGTAATTTCTGTGTACATCCACCCTCTTTCTATTTTTCACAGCAAATAATGGATTCTTTCTCCCATCTATTGCCTCTGCAGCAAAACCAACCTCTGGTATTTGCCTGCTCCTTGCCTCATGCACTGGCATTAAGTACTATCGTCAAAGATATGTATAGGCTTGAAAATGCAGGATCTGGGTCTCCTTTGCCTTTTATCTGGTGCAGCCAGTTACAAATAGGCAAATCAGAGGCCAGATTCTTAGCTGACATAAACCCAAGTACATCCATTTGCTTCAATGGAGCAACGTCAATTTATACCAGTGAAGAGGACAGTCCTGAGGGTAATGGTGCAGCACCAGTAAACCACAATGGAAGAAATATGCATATACTTTACTGAGGTGTAGATGGCTACGTTAACTGCAAGGTGGTGAAGAATCAGGCTCAGATTTTGTCACTGCTTTTGCAGAGTCAGGACAGAAAGACATAAGCTTAAAACACAGACAGCCTGACTTGTGCAAGCAGCTATGAGTTCACGAAGCGAGTCTTACATGGTGCTGGTCCCATGCGGTAGCATTCTGAACTCGCTTTGCAGCGTGTAAATAATTACACAGGCTATAAGGCAGTGGAAAGTCAAGCCTCGTTATTACTTTGGATCACTAGTGAAAATCTTTCAGAGTACATTTCGAGATCAACTACACACAAGTATTTTAACTACTTACCAGTGTCCCTCCAAAATTGTGCATACTCTTTTAAGAGTCCGAAGCAATACATCTATAGTTAAATGCAGTCTTCTTGTCTTTGGAAGCAACTAGCATGGACGCTCCTGTCTAACAGGTTAGTGAAAGGTAAGTAAGGGTTCTGGCGCTTTGTTAAGTGGTCATAGAAGTAACTTAACGAATCCAGAATTTAAGATGTAGGGCCACATTTCTGTTGTACTAATGTAAAAAGAGTCATTCCATGTGACTTCAGTGAAATGACTCTGACTTCACACAAGTGTGATTAGCGGAATTTGATCCTAATTCCTAAGCTGCTATTGCAAGAAGTGCTCTGTAAAGCATGGCTTTCATTGTAGTCTGCTTTCTGCTGCACTTACATGTGGGGACTTTGAAGGCAGAGTGTATTAGTTGCCAAGCTGTGCAAAAACTGAATGTTATTTCTTTACCTTCTATAATCTTCTGATGCTGTGTTGCTCGCAGAGCATGTGAAGTAGCTGGAGTTTAGGATTACGGAGGAGGAGGCAATTCTGCAATGCAGAGTGAGCTTTCCACTATCTGAATTCTGAAGCATTCATGAAAACAACATCCTCATGACTTCACCACAGATCACATGCAGGTAGATACAATGCACAATACTGATCTTGTCTCTTCAGGCTGTATTTGAACAGTTAGCCTTCATTTTTTTTCAAGTTAAATTTGACGTGAGGACTATCTCTGCAGCAGGGAAAAAGTTAAAATGTCTGAAATGGCAGTCTGTCAGCATGTAATGTTCGGTGTGTTTTAGCTACTTGCTTCATAAGACACCGGCATCTATCTGAGATGGGACAACACTTGTTTTTTTGTTCTCTTTTAGTTTGCTCCTAAAGCATAAATATGGAATAAGGGGTCAATTACGGTAGCTTTGTTCTAACAGGAATCCCGTCCTAATAAAATATTTACGTCACCCGTCATTGTTTTCCAAATGCAATCAGTGTTCATGTCAGTGCTCCTTGACTATCATTTGTTGTATGGTACGCAGGCTGGCAATATGACAGTTGAACAAGCAGGTCCTGCAAGTGGCTCAGCAACATCTCCTTCTAGTTCCGTCCAAGTGCCCTTCTCAGGACTGTAGCAAATGGTAGAAGATTTGTAGGCTCCCTGTAGTAGAAAAAAATGTCCTATTAAATGCAGCTTTGCTAAAATTCAAGTCAAGTATCAGCTTTAAAGATGTTCAAAAGCGACTCATGGGTTTGACCTATAATTTAGGAGCCCCTCAAGAGGTTTCATTTTCATATGGGCTGAGCACCCGGCCTCTGCAAATTAGGCTCATTTACAAGCACCTTATAAGCAGAGCTGTAAGCAGATAGTCCTGTCAATCATTATTGCCAAAGTTCATCAGAGTTTTATAATACTCCATGTCAATGAATACAATCTGATAATAACTCATCTAAATAGAAAGGCGCAAAGGCAAAAAAATACTCCATGTTCTCCACAAGTTGAAAACCAAAACAAAACCTGCCCCTACAGCTACTTCATTGCTCGTCTCCTCTCCATCCCATCTGAGTAACATTCAGACTGGCCACAAGAGCTCAGACGAAAAGGAAGGGTCAGAATTGCAGAAGGCACGTACGCACCATACTCCAGCTGTAGCCTCCCACGAGGTAAATGCTGTCGTCAAGGACTGCGCAGCCGGGGCCACTGCGACCCTCCAGAATAGGAGTCTGGAGGATATTCCACTGGTCACCTTTTGGATCGTAGCATTCCACAAGCATTACATCAAGATGGGAGAAACCTGGATGAGGGCATTGAGAAAACAGAAAGTGTGTTATCACGTCCTGTTCTATTATTCCTTTTATTGTTAATTTTGTTAAGTTACAGTCATATCATTTACAGGTATCACAGCATTAAACTTTCTTCTAGAAAATGCTGCCATATACATTTAAGCCATCTTCTGTAACGTTAATGTCTCATTATTTCAGTTCAAATAAATATGTTGAGAGCTTTCACTGTCAATTAAAAACAGTCTTCTACAAATCACGAGTACTTTGAAACCTGGAGAGATAAGAAAGTAATACTCAGTAATACATCTATCAACAATGTAAGCAGATTCAAGCAATATTCCTCCTCATCCACCAGTACTAATGTGAGTTTGAACATGTAGGAAAAGACCGTCCTGGCAGTCTGTTTCAAAGGTCAGCAGATCTAATCTATTCAAAAGTCAACAGATTAAATCTTGCTCAGAAATCAATGTCTAATGAGCCAAGGTAGAGCTTAGACAACAGATGCCACTTGGTTCCAGAGGGCAAAGTGCTTAGCATGATGGACGTGGCGGTCAGGACCAGTTTCAATTTTCAACTTGATTTTAGGTGCACCCTAAGCAAGCAGCTGTGATGTGACAAAGTCTTTAAGGTGAAAAAAAAAGAAAATGTAACCAAAAAACCCAGTTTTCCTATCCTTCCCTGATGGACCGAGAAAGGCTTCACGCGACTGCTGCTTTGTAAACACCAAAGGCAGCTGGGTGTCAGCTCAAGACTCTCAAACTATATCAATTAGTGTCAAGTGAGCTGAACAAAGACATAGAAGCCAGGAATCTTGGTTCCTGCTCCAATATTTAGGCATTTTCCTATCTCAAACTACCTTCTTTATCAGAGCACGGCAGTAAAATTATGGCTTTCTTAATATGCTGGGATGCTTCACTTGACACTACTGTCTCCTCCATCAAAGTATGACAGAAAAAAGAAGATTTTCTGGAAAAGAGCACTTGGTGATACTAGTACTTCAGGATGCTGCTGCTTGTAAGAGTATTATGTATGCCAGGAATGAACAGCTATGATGAAATAATTTTTCGTTGCTGTAAAGTTTTCAAGGGGCCATAGAAAAGCCACCGCAGCGTGCCCAGAACCTGTCAAAAGCTCCGTAATAAACTGCAGTATGCACACGACTAGCTGTGCTGCGGTAAATGCACTGCTAACGCTAGTACACAGACCCAGCCTCACAAAGGAGGGCTTTGCCATGGAGCCCTGCTGATCCCCGCCAGCGGCAGAGAATTTGTAGCACTTCATCTGCACTTCAGTCCCCTCCTTCTTCCCCCTCCTTGCACTTCCTCTGGGTTTTTTGGTTTGGTTTTTTTTTTTTTTTTGTACGAGACAAAGCCAACACTTTGGAGCTCTGCAACCTCTACAACATTTGCAGGGGCATGTGCGCAGGCAGCTTTTACCCGCTTCACCCTGTAATGTCCAGTGCAGGAACACCCATCCCAGCTGGGGGTGGAGAGCAGAGGCACAGCAGCCCTGTGCTGGGCTGCAGGGGTGAATGCACCAGTTGGGGTGTAGGCACCAGTGCTACAGACCAGGGAAGACCTACGGCCAAGACTTTGTCCCCTACATGCTCCACAGACACTCAGGTCTTCAAAAGCAGCCTCTGTGGCTTCAGCATCTCACGGTCACGCAGGTGCCGGAGTCACCCAGGCACTCGGCCTGGTGTTACTGGCAGTGAACATCATTTTTGATTTTGCGTTACAATTTTCTCTTTTGTTGTTCTGAGAAGCATGTATATTTATTTTTTTTTTAAGCAAGGAAGCAGAAAGGAGAAAAAATGTGAATTTAAAACTGTCAAATATTGTCACGGGGCAAAGGAGCAGGAGCTGTGCTTTTTATCTAAGTGGTCGGATTAAGCAGCATCTCTGCAGGAGTGATAGCAATGGCATGTAGGTATTAAGGCAAAAATACCAGATGCCTAAGCAGTAGTTATTTTAATATGAGACCTTTTCAAAAGAAGAAAACAAGAGACCTCTAAAAAGAATTGTAATTAACAAGCTACATTTAATACTAAAAAGGGATCTAAAAAGCCTAGTCCTAATATTTAATGGCTGGAGCATTTTTATTTTTTTCTCTTCATTAAACTAGGAGCTTGTTTTGTGTGTTGCTCTGAACAAAGCTCTCTCTAACTGCACATTTTGGAAAATGATTTACAGAGGAAAATATTGCTGCTACTTTCGGGTCAAAGAATAATCTGTTTGTTTCATTGAATTCTTGGTAATGACAAATTGTCCATGCCTTTGAGTAATGGAAGCTCCCATTTTATTATCTAAAGCATTCATTACTCATATATTTAATGTACTGTTATAATTTTAAAATAATTTGCATAAAATGTTTTTAAAATTGCTGGCTCAAGTGTCCTGTTAAATTGTGTTGCCTGGTTTTTAATGTACTTAACAATGACTGTCTAACAAAAATGTTTTTTATCAGGAGATGGGGGACCCCGAAATGCTTTTTCGCTATTAAAAATGTGACCTTTCAAATGGTTTCCTCCAATTGCATAGAGTCGATCATTCATTACAGCCAAAGTGTGGATGGCTCGCTTTGTGTTCATGTCCTGTTTTCGGGCCCAGACATCCATCACCGGGTCATAGCAGTACAGCCAGGGGACATATTCTCCATTGTGGACACCTCCTGCAAAGTGAATATACTTCTGTTAATTAGTGTAAATAAAGTTATTGTGCTGCA